TACTCAGAGGAAAATAAACTCAAAATGAGTGTGTTGCTTTTATCATCCTGTTAGTTAATCATATAATGTAGAATTTCAATAAATATTTAGAGAATAAAAAGATATGTACTAGTTGTTTAATAAGCTCCATTGTTTCAGGACAGAAAGGGAAGCTGACTATAGGGGCAATGATTAACAAACATCTCAGTTTTAATTAGTTGTAAAATTGTTAGATCCTTTTGTTTTGAAGAATAAGATATTTTTCATACTCTTTCCAACCAGGATATCTCGAACACACTGAAAAAATATCAATGTCAATTAATAACCAACAAAAATCTAGAATATAAAATTATAAAGATCAGTTAAGAAAGAAAACTTAACAGGAAGGCCGGTGAATAATACTTTAGAAAGTTTTGCAGAAATGAGAATATAAAAATTATAGAGTCTTCAGTTTAAAGTGGTGAAGAGGGGGAAGAAGCATGCACATTTTAGTTGGGAAATGAGAAATACTGCAATGAAAACTAAAGATGAACTGGGAGAGATTTTCACTTATCTTCTTCAGAGGAAAATAAAAAAAGATATAAAAATTGCACTCTGGTATCATGGATTAGTTTCTGGAAAATGAAAAAGACATTAGTGGGAAAAAAGTGAAGAAATCCTTAATATGTAATTAAGTGAATTGTTTCTACTAATTTAAATTCTTAATAAATGTGTCATGATTATATAAAATGTTTTTATTTGGGGAACTTGACTATATGGGATAAACTAACTACCATTGCAATCATTGAACAAGATGTAGTTTATGTAGGTATGTTTAAGTTATATACCAGAAATCTACATGAAAATGTAATACTATAACTAAGGAGTAATATTTCATAATAATAAATGATTCAGTTCTCCAGAAGTTCATAACAATTCTCAATTTTAATCCACATACTAATATTGTCTAGTGATATCTTACAAAGGAAAACATGGGCCATCTACAAGGAAAATGAGAACAAGAAGTTATATCTACCAAGATAGAAAAGAACTACAATGACAAGAAGATCTGGGAGTAATAAAACTAAATGCAATACAGAGGATCAACAAAAAAAGTTATTTAAATAATAAAATGCAATTTATAAATACTCAATGTTTGCCCAGAAGATAGTACCAAATTGCCAAGCATATAAGTGAGTTAATTTGAAAGTGGAATATTTAGCCTGACATTAAACTGAGGCGAGATGTTGAACTGAGGGGAGGGCCAGAAGGACAGTCAGTGTAGGGAATGAAGGAAGGGCTGAGTCAGGAAGGTGGAAGCTGATTCAAAGGGAATGGAATGTTTATACCTTCAGGACACCTCCCCCTCCTCCTCCACCTGTTGCCAAGGTTACCTGCCTCCTGGGGCTTGTTCATCCCTGGAGTTATTAAAGAATATCCCATGGGCTGCTCCCTTCGGTATGTACCCATGGGTGGCTTTATTCTCATCCTTGGATCACTCCACCTTTTGGTCACTAGTCATGTAGGCAGGATGTGGGGAGAGAGAGCATGAGAACCAGTAAACCTAAAATGTGTACAAGGGCAAGACACCCCCACTTCCTCAGCCACCCAGCTCTCAGGCCCATTCTCTTTGTCTGTCTCTGCTTTATTCTTTAAATAAAACTTTCTTTCTACACTTGCCTCAGCATTTCTCAGGCATTCAATTTTCAACATTGGGGAAAAGGGACTTGGCTCTGATTCTCATCACTGGTATCAAAACTACCCAAGGATGATGAAAGTAGATAAAAGAAAAACCATATCCACTGAGCTCTGTTCCAGTTGAGGATTTCTGAGCCAGAGAAACATCAAGAAAGTAATAGGGTAAGCATAAAATAACCAATGCCAGAAACTGAGAAGGGATATCAGTATATAATCTAGAGATACTAAAATAAAAGAAGATACAATTAATATCCTCACAATGTCCCCAACAAAATATTGTCAAAACATAAGAACCAATTACTAAAAATAAAAATTACTTCCCAGAATTTTCACGGGGTGAAAATTTTGGAATGTTGTATAATTATTAAATGAATTTAATCTACAAAAAAACTATGTACAATTAAATTAATTTCTCAGAACGTTGTTTAGTTAAAATATTAATTTTTACCAAAAATTATAGAAGAAAAGAAAAAGGAGGGTTCATATCATAAATTATTTTATAAGAACATCATAAATTGACACCAAAGAATAAAAATGACATTTTAAGAAAGGGAAATTACAATCCAGATCTCAGGTAACCCACAATTCAGTCCCCCAAAGCAACAAAACCTTCTAGTGATGAAAATTTGATGACAAGAATTTTTACATCTGCAAGATTTGAAACAAGTATTCCTAGAATATTGCCTCATACTTGAAGGTAAAATATTAAAAGTTTTTCTTTTGAATTAGAAAATAAGGAATGTATGCTTACTTCCAATATTTCTATTTCACAAGTGTTAGTCACTGTATCTTAACAGGGCAGACCCTGTTTCTCAAAGATGGCTGATTTTCTCATCATCTTGTGGATCTTTAGAACTATCCCATTATGGTAAGGTCTTTATGTCTTCTCTTCAAACTAATGGGACTTTTAGGTTACATTGGTCAATAGAATATGGTGAACATGATGTTTTGATCTCACAAGACAAATTCACAAAAATGCCATTTAAAAAAAAAAATTTTCCAGCCACTATGCTGAAGATAAATTCAAATAACCCATGAATAACTTCACTTGTGACCCCCAAACTTTAGCTTCTCCAGAGACCTTGACCAAAAGCCAGCATCAATTTGCAAAACATACAAATGAGCTAATCTGAAATTTAGCCTGGCATCAAATTACACCAGCCTGCTGTACATGGACAAAAGAAAAGTCACATGAACCTACTCAGCTCAAGTTGAAGATTTCTGGGCCAAAACAAAATGTTGTTCTAACCTGTTAGCATTTGTTTGTCTGTTTTTGTAGTAATAGATAACTAGTGTAATATAAATGAAAAGTCACTAATTTTGGAGTCGAAAGAAATAATTGCTATTAGTGACAGATGAATTGATCGTCTTTATAGAAAATCCAAAAGAATAAATAGAATTGTTATTAGAAATAATAATACCCATTAATGAGATTACCAGATATAAGAGCAACTAAAACATCAATATTGTTTCCATTGCTAAATACAACATGTTAGACAATGAAGAAGTACCATTCAAGTTACCATAACATATAAAAGAACTACATATGAATAAGTATATGGAAAATAACTATGTTTCAATTTTTAAAAAGATGAGTGATTTCCACTCAGGAAATCATAGAACATTTGAGAGACCTTGAGAAAGAAATGAAATTAAAAACAAACAAACAACAAAAAAAACTATGTATACAGTATGCATGGTTGGGCTCCATGTTTTTCATTTAATCTGTGGCCTTTTCGGTTAAATGAAGAAATAATTTTCCATATTGTAAAACCACTATCCATCATGTATTCTTACATTTACAAGTGAAAGTTTTGTAAGTAATATATACTAGGTGACTACTCTTAAAATTATGGACTTGGTTGACTGAAGAATATGATATATTTCATGTTCAGAAACTGGAAATATTTCTTTGATAGAAAAAGCTATATTAATTGTTTTGTGGTAATGTACCTATAGTATTAGGCCTCAAGGAGTATAGCTTAGAATGTAAATTTAGATTTTATGAAATATCAAACAAAATCTAATTAGCTATGTGTGCATATAAATTTATTACCTTATTCTAAATTTCATGGAAATCCAATGGAATAGCAATTTTCTACTTGAGAAAAAAAAAGGTAGTAGGATGCATTAAGCATTTCTTATGTGCCTTCTCTCTTTTTATGGTACTTGTTCACTGCCATGGACAATTCAGCTCTTCCTTTCCCTAGGCACCATCTCAGAGATCGACTTACACATGTAAAATCCTACAGTGCCTCACCTTGTGACAAATGTCATACTTGTCATCTTTTGCCAAGAGATTAATTTTTCTCTTGAAGCCTGAGAAACTGGAATGTATTTGGTATCAGTACAATTGCAACCTAAAACAGGGGAAAGGTAAATTACCTCCTTAAGGTACAATGTTGTGCCTGGTGGTGATAAATGCTGGCAGATAAATACCTCTCTTCTAATCCTCCATACCCTGATATGAGATATAATAGTTTATTGGCCTCTTTCAAGATAGGGTCAAGCTTTTCCACTAACAGCCTGGGAAAAATGAAATCTAAATTTCATAGTAAGTCTCCATAACTACTTTCTACAAAGTATGTTTTCATTATTGACCACCAAAAATTCTCACATTTGACTGTAAATCTGTGACTTTTGTGATTACTAGTTTTTAGGACATGTTCTTAGTATGAGAGTTACCATGGTTTTGTTTCTTTATTATTACTATTTATTATTTTGTCAGTTAAGTTAAACTTGCTTTAGAGCAATGTGAAACTGTAAAATAAGCACCAATTCTGATGCCAAATAAGTTTAAGTTCAAATTCCTGATCTTCAAAGTGTATTAGTTTATCATTTACTTATGTCTTTAGACAAGGACAACATTTGAGTTAATCATCTTCTCCCTTCATAGATCACTTTTAGCAGTTGTGCAAAACACCTCTACATCTTCCTTACTGATTCATTTTCTTGCCTTCCTATTCCTAACTTTTACTGTCCCCTCTTCTTCATAGATAGCAACTCTAGGCTGCTTCATATGGACTCCTAAGTTTACACTTAGTTTTATAAAATAAGTACTTTTGTATTTGTATTTACTGTGAATTTATCTTAATTAAAATTACAAAATGGCAATAATATAGATTTATTTTTTCTCTAATATTTTATCTCATCACTACTTCTTAGTACCTGTATGACCTATGAGAATATCTAGGTTTCTGTGTCCTAAGTTTTTCATCATGCATATCTACCACATCATATTTGTCCTTTAGAAATTGAAATTGCCGATATAGGGTGGGCCTGTTGTCATGGGGGAGGTGGTGTCGCTTGGTGGCTACTGGCGGCCAAGGTAGAGGCAGCAGCCCGGGAGTTGGTCGTGGGCCCCAGCAGAGGAAACTGAGGCTTGGTGAAGTTATGAAACTTGTCCAAAGTTACACAGCTTGTAAAGGGCACAGCCAAGATTCAGAGCCAGGTTATAAAAGTTAAGATGAACAAACTACAACAAAGTTTTAGGAGAAAGAAAGACGTTTATGTTCCAGAGGCCAGTCGTCCACATCAGGGGCAGACAGATGAAGGAGTTCGCACTGGGAAATGTAGCTTCCCAGTTAAGTACCTTGGCCATGTAGAAGTTGATGAGTCAAGAGGAATGCACATTTGTGAAGATGCTGTAAAAAGATTGAAAGCTGAAAGGAAGTTCTTCAAAGGCTTCTTTGGAAAAACTGGAAAGAAGGCAGTGAAGGCAGTCCTGTGGGTATGAGCAGATGGACTCAGAGTTTTGGATGAAAAAACTAAGGACCTCATAGTTGACCAGACAATAGAGAAAGTTTCTTTCTGTGTACCAGATAGGAATTTTTATAGAGCCTTCTCTTATATATGTCGTGATGGCACCACTCGGCGCTGGATTTGTCACTGCCTCATGGCTGTCAAGGACACGGGTGAAAGATTGAACCATGCAGTAGGCTGTGCTTTCGCAGCCTGTTTAGAGCCCTAAGCAGAAGCAGGAGAAGGAGTATGGAGTGACTGCTACTTTTGACGCTAGTCAGACTACCTTTACAAGAGAAGGATCATTCCGTGTCACAACTGCCACCGAACAAGCAGAAAGAGAGGAGATCATGAAACAAATACAAGATGTCAAGAAAGTTGAAACAGATAAGACAGTTGTTGGTTCATCAGTGGCTCCTGGCAACACTGCCTCATCCCCATCCTCTCCCACTTCTCCCACTTTGGATGCCATTGCCTTGCTGGAGATGAACAATCCTCATGCCATCCCTTTGCATCAATGAGTTGCCTTCCACTATGCAGAGGAAGACTGATTTCCCCATAAAAAATGCAGTGCCAGAGGTAGAAGGGGAGGCAGAGAGCATCAGTTCCCTGTGCTCACAGATCACCAATGTCTTCAGCACACCCTCTGAGGACCCCCTCTCTTCCGCCCCAATGACCAAACCAGTGACAGTGGTGGCATCACAGTCTCCTGCCTTCCAAGCTAATGGCACTGACTCAGCCTTCCATGTGCTTGCTGCTAAGCCAGTCCATACTGCTCTAGCACCCGTAGCAATGCCTGTGCTTGAAACCAACCCTTGGGCCCATGCCCCTGATGCTAACAAGGAAATTGCAGCCATTCACCCTGGGACTGAGTGGGGTCAGTCTTCTGGTGCTGCATCTCCAGGTCTCTTCCATGGTGGTCACAGACGTACTCCCTCTGAGGCTGACCGATGGTTAGAAGAAGTGTCGAAGAGTCTCTGAGCCCAGCAGCCCCAGGTCTCAGCTGCCCCTTTGCAGCCAGTTCTCCAGCCTCCTCCACCCACTGCCATTTCCCAGCCAGCACCGCCTTTCCAAGGGAATGCATTCCTCACCTCTCAGCCTGTGCCAGTGGGTGTGGTCCCAACCCTGCAGCCAACCTTTGTCCCTACCCAGTCCTATCCTGTGGCCAATGGGATGTCCTATCCAGCCCCTAATGTGCCTATGGTGGGCATCACTCTCTCCCAGATGGTAGCCAATGTGTTTGGCACTGCAGGCCATCCTCAGGCCACTCATCCCCATCCATCTCCCAGCCTGGTCAAGCAACAGACATTCCCACAGTATGAGACAAGCAGTGCTACCACCAGTCTCTTCTTTAAGCCTCCTGCTCAGCACCTCAACGGTTCTGCAGCTTTCAATGGTGTAGATGATGGCAGGTTGGCCTCAGGAGACAAGCACACAGAGGTTCCTGCAGGCACCTGCCCAGTGGATCCTTTTGAAGCTCAGTGGGCTGCATTAGAAAGCAAATCCAAGCAGTGTACTAATCCCTCCCCTACCAACCCATTTTCCAGTGACTTACAGAAGACATTTGAAACTGAACTTTAAGCAATCAAAAAAAAAAGAGATTGAAATTACTTCTAATAAAATGATAGCATGTGATTCATTCAATACCTATAATGAACACATTTGCAAGTGCTACTGTTTCTTCTGAGAATTCCTACATAGACATCCTCAAGAATTTAAACTCAGAAGTTGCTATTGGTTTGCCTGATATATACACATTTAATTTGATGTTTGATAAATTGACCTCAGGAATGAATATATGTATTGGCTTTTTCATATAGTGCACGGAGAACTTGATTTCTTCACCTTCCCATCAATTTGGCATTACAATAGCAAATGCTATAATCTGTATTTTAATAAAATGAATACAAATTGGTTGTTTGTATTCAAACATTCAATATTTGTCTATAATAAGGGAGCAGTCAATATTACCCAAAATCCTGAATTTTCCTACCTACATTCTAAGCTATAGTCCTAGAAGCCAAATAGTGGATAAATTACCACAAAAAAATTAAAACAGCTTTTTCTATTAAAAAAATATTTCCAGTCTCTCAACATAAAATATATTCTTCAATCAACCTAGTCTTTAATTACCTATTCTGTATTAGTTACAAATATTTCACTTGTAAATGTAAGCATACATGATGGATACTGGTTTTACAAAATGGAAAATTATTTGTTCATTTAACTGAAAAGGCCACACAGATTGAATTAAGTTCTATGAACTTCACCTAATGAAGTTCACTTAATGACAGTGTAACATTTTCTATGTGTCTTCCTCTGCATATAATGGAGTATAATTTTATGAAATTTATTGAAAATGGTTATTAGAAATTTCCAAAATCTACAAGACTCCTGTTTCACATCATAGAAGTAGAAAAACACTTGAAGAATGGTAGAACACAGTTTCCTAGGCCTAAAAATGTTCTATGTATCCCATTTGCTCCCATTTGGGTGGTTAATTCCACCACCCAAAAGCAAACTAAGGCCTAACCAGACGTTAACACTATTGTCCACTTCCCTCAAAGAACATCTAGCTGCTTAAAGGTGGTAAACACAGAACTGATAACAAAGAAGAAGGGAAGTGGATGTTGGACAACAGAAAGAACAAATACCTTCATAAACCAGAATATTATTATGTAAAAAATTATTATGTAAATCCCCCATATAATTATTTTCCAATAAAATTATACTTAATTTTAAGAAGAGTACAAATCTATAAAAAACCTTTCAAAATACTGAATAATTACACCAATATTTTCACTTTTACGATAAATTTTAGAAGAAAAATATGTGCTTTATTATGTTAAATCATTTTGAGAAGATTATAGGTTATCTCATTACAAGATGCCATCTCATTACAAGATCTGTATTTATATAAATATATTTCATAACATAAATAGATTTTATGCAAATGGAGTTTATCCAAACAGAATTTTGTAGTTTCACAAAGTGAAACATTTATTAACCTCTAAAATGTTTTTCATTTTCATGGAATAATATTGTATGATCTCTTCTCCATTTTAATGAATACAACTTTAAGATATTAATTAAGATATTAATTTCAAAAGATGCATGATTATATTTTACTATCAAGAAGCTAGAAATAGGGCTGGGGATGTGGCTCCAGCAGTAGCGCGCTCGCCTGGCATGTGTGCGGCCCGGGTTCGATCCTCAGCACCACATACCAACAAAGATGTTGTGTCCTCTTCACAAATTGTGTACTATTAAAAACTGTTGT